CAGTGTGTGGCCCACAGGTTCTGTGTTGAAGTACTTTAGTGGCCCACTTGATATGAAAAATTGGGCCACCCTGTTGTGGAAGCTTCTGGCGTCGCCATTTTGTACCTGGTTGGTAGAACTCTAGGTTCTAACAAAAATCAAAATGGTTCTTTCTGCCAAGGCTGAAGTTGACCCACCCTAGTTTTATAAAAATGCTGCACTTGGTGAAGCAGGAAAACTGTTTATTCAGTTACTAATACACCCTGGGTCAACAACTAGATTTGTGAATGGAACACCAGCATGGGCAAAGATGGTGAATCAGGCTTCACCTGCAACCCACAAAATGGGTTTTCTACACACAATTGTTTCTTCCACATTCTTTTTTCAATTGAGATGAAGAATAATGGGTGGGGTGGGCAGGGCAGTTGTACTCAGTGGGCCTGGATTTAGCCTTAGGAATTTAAGCCTGTTTACCATTCGGTGGAACAATAGCAAGTCTTGCTTGGCCCCAAAACACGGTCTGAATGTACATGGTGAGTCTTGCTGAAACTAAGTAGGTCCATACCTGGGCAGAGCTTTGATGGAAACTTGAGTTCCATGGATAGGTGTGGCACAAAATCATGACTAAAACATGTGTTGTGTCTACCTGGTTGTATTTTTAAAAAATCATGTTGTGCACTAAGCCAGTTCCTTTGGAAAGGTAGTATACAAACACAATTAATATTAACTACTACCAAATGTCTTTGTAATAGTGACACCCCAGGTTTCATAATCCAGGACATATTGTCCAACAGCAGCCATAAATATTTGTCTCCCAGTGCCATGGCGACATAATAAGATTCATTTCTACATCTGTTAACATAGCAATCAGCATATTTTTCCTTGGTGCAAGGTGTGAGAGAGGTCCAAGATGGGGATGCAGCAAGAATAATAGCAGCTGACCTCCCCTAAAGTCAATGCCTCCCTAAACCACTGCTTTATTTTGATGCTCTTTATTTCCCCTGTCTGATTGAACAGAGGAAGAAGGCATCTGGTGCTTTCTTCCAGCTGTAAAATTCCCCATATACAGATTTGACTTCATATCTGGCAAAGCAGTTCAAAGAAGAAAATACAGTGGTACCTCGGGTTAAGTACTTAATTCGTTCTGGAGGTCCGTTCTTAACCCGAAACTGTTCTTAACCAGAAGCACCACTTTAGCTAATGGGGCCTCCTGCTGTCACCGCGCCGCCAGAGCACGATTTCTGTTCTCATCCTGAAGCAAAGTTCTTAACCCGAGGTACTATTTCTGGGTTAGCCGAGTCTGTAACCTGAAGCGTCTGTAACCTGAGGTACCACTGTAGTCGTAATTAAAAGTCTCAGTATTGAACGAAATCCCAAACAATGCTTAACCTGTTAAAAGCAGATCAATCTTTAAATTTGCCAACAATGATGGTGACAAGAGAAGCACTTGAACTATTAACGTAAGGTTGTGTGGAAGCTTCAGATTTTAGTGAGTGTGTTGTGTTGACATCAGTCTGTCTCAGAAGACAATGGAGGAGTGAGCCTTTGGGGGTGAAGTCAAACTATTGGAAGGTTACAGCACCTGTTGTGGCTGCAAGAGACTGATACAGGAGAGACATGTTTCGTTGCAGCAGTGGCAGTGATAGATGGTATTGAGAAATGGCACAACAATGTAGTTTTGAAATACTGAAGCTTGGAAATTTATTTATAAGAAAAACAGTTTTAAGTGGTAGGCAAGATTAGTATTAAACTTCTACAAACAGTCACCACCTCCAATCAGAATTTGCTACATGGCTGTTCATATGCTGATTAACAGACACATCTCAGTTGATAAGTCACTAAATGCCTGCTTTCCATTCACACAACTCTTCATTTTTGAAGTTTATGGCACAGTAATTTCTATGAAAAACTTCTCCTTCCACTGCATTAAAAAGATTCCAATCATATTTTTACACTTATGACATCATTATCTTAATGAAAAACCTGTACATGAAAAAAGCTACTTTAGTTAAACTTTTGGTCATTAGAGTGCCGCTTGACCATTTAGTGTGTTAAGTTATAAATATATTTAAGTTAAAAATGCTTAAGTATCAGCTGCAGAACCAGCAATAAAAGGCTCTTATGCTGGTTTTAGTTAGCGCTTTCCATTTGTAAGCCGATCTTCTTCATAGTCACCCGTTAACTGTAGCACATATGTTCCAGTGTAAAGAAGGATATGTCCCGTAACTTGTGCCATATGTGACAGATATCGAAGTATACTCCTTAAAAAAAGAAACACATTAAGCTTAGACAGGTTAAAAAAAAATTGCACAAAAGGAGAAAACACATCATCACTTTTGTCCATATACAATTTACACCAGCACATGCTCTGCACTTTTTCTGAAGTTGCACTTTTCCTGAAAGAGCAAATTTAGTTTAAGGATTCTCCTGTATCCAGCTTTGTTGCTTGAAGACCAACTGGTAGCACAGAATACTTCTGGACAGGGATAGCCTAGCCAGTTACCCAAATGGAAGGTTATCAGAGCATGGCTGATGGCAGTGACATTATACTTGGAGCTGCTTTTGAAGATGGTTTAAAAGCTTCAATTAGTGCAGAATGTCTGGCAGCATTCACTTCCAAGTCCAATTCAAAGAGCCCGATGCTTACTTTTAAAGCTCTAAATGGTTTGGGACCAGCTACCTGGAGAAAACAGACTCCCATGTCAACCTGCCTGCATTTCAAGATCTGTTGATATCCTGCACCATCAGGTGATCAGCAAAAAAGAGACTTTTCAACTGGAGCATCCCAGTTATGGAATGTCCAATCTCACCTGACACCAACATTGTTATTTTAGCTGCTGGTAACAATCTTTAATTATCCAGGTATTTTAAAGTTTGTTAGCAATTTGGGACTACAATTCCCATCATCCCTAGCTAACAGGACCAGTGGTCAAGGGTGATGGGAGTTGTAGTCCCAAACATCTGGAGGGCCGGAGTTTGCCTATGCCTGCTCCAGCCATTTTATATGAAACTTCTATGCCAATTTATTATATTGCTTTCTTTTCATGCTATTGTGAAAGGTTCTGAAATTCCTATGTTCAAATACCAAGCTGAAGTTCCTTTTGTTTTTTTGCTGCCATTCTAAGTATATTTACTTTGCAATTAAGTTTAACCTGAAAGTCAGAAAGGCTAATACTTTCCTACAGGGGACTGCTAGAATTAATTCTAATATATATTCGCTTGGTTCCTAATGCTACAGCAAGCATTAAAATATACTGGATCAGACCAGTAGCCTAGCTTAACAGACCCAAAGCTGTTGTTTCTGGATATTATCCCACTATCAACACTTTAATAACTTCTAGAAACATGTCAGTGCTTGCTATATTTGCAGGAGTCCTTCTGCATTTGTAACTCCCACATTTTTATAGGGAATTCCTTATCATTGCACTCCAGTTCTTGTTTCAGAAATTTTAGGCACTACCACCACCTAGTGTTTCAGAGAGTCTGAGACAGCAAGAACCTCCAGGTCATTTTATAAGCTTGCCAGTTCCTTGAACATTCAACTTACTCGTGCCTTTATTTAGCAGGTCACCATGTATCTAGGGAATCGGGTGTAGCTTGCTTAGCCTCCATTGCACAACACATTAAGATATCTGAACAGACAGCAGAGTTATCAATAATTTTCTTCTCTATTTGAATTTATTTTTAAGAAGACTGACATTACAGAAACAGCAGCTCTGGCATTTCAGCTCCTCTTTGAAATTTCACTTTCAGCATTTCCTTTTTATAGTCTTTATCAGTGCAACATTTGTACTGGGTTCTTTAAGGATCTGCACTTGGACCAGTGATTCTTATCTTGCTCATAAGTGGACAGCCGTAGAGACTGAGCAGTTAGGTGGCAAATTTTGCCAGCAAGCTATTCATGGTGGGGCAGACAAATATCAAATCCCAAAACAAGTGCATGGACATTAAAGTGGCAAATGCGGTTCAAAGTGTAAAGTGATGCACACTTGGACAACTCTCCCTCCACACAACTTCTTGTAATGTAACTCACTGCCATGTTTCCCTTTACTTGTGCTCTCTGCCTCCCCTAGAACCCAGGTGCTTTGTTTAAGATGTGGGAAAGAAGGCTTTATTTTGTCCATGAATGGGGACAACAGCCATTGCTTTTTTATCCCAGAATCCTAGGTATGTAGCTTGATAAACAGTAGCACCTGGGAGGGAATCGCACACATGCAGTCTCCACCTTGCACTCAAATATTCATGATGGTCTCATTACTACAACACTGACCCCAACTTTTGTTGATTTTCCCTCACCCTAACAGTCACTGCTTTGCTTAACACTTTGTCCAATGAAGGGTTCCAGACGGCTTGAAAGCTTGCCCCATGTCGGACTTTTGGGTTGGTCTTAATAAGGGAGTTATTCAGCTGTGGACTTTTGGGTGTAATTTCACCTATGCATGGTTGAGTCTGATCTAGAGGCACACACTTACCTCAGTACAGCCTTTGCTCCCATGCATTGGATATCATACGTCACAGAATAGATTTCATAAAATGTAGCTTTGATATTTAGGCAGCCAATGAAGTCCTTAGGGTTCACTTTGTACAAATCAAAGGTAATATTTGCCACCCCCATTTTCTTTGGCTGCTGTACTGCTGCAAAGCAGGGTCTTGGCCCCTAATTCAGAGGAAAGAAAAACAAGTGTGTGAAATATTTCAGCTCACAACACCTATCTACACCCAAGAGCCCTGTAGGATTTTTTTTTTAAGACTAATTAACTTATTGAGAACAGAAATTAATCAATAGCCTTTGAACTATGGTTTAACCACCAAAATGGGTTTTGAATCAAGCTCTTGAGTCCCTTGGAAGTTTACAATTACCAGAATACGGTAAAGGTTGTTTGAAAAATTTGGGAACAGTTTGGGAAATATTTTTTTTACCACCACCTAGTTAAAAGGCTTAGAGAGACACTGGAGAATAACCTCAGTATCCAGATTTAACACAAGTGATATAATGTCAGATATAACATTTATTGTTTCAGGATTTCTACTGAACTGGGGGACTAGCAAATCAGAGGAGGAAGGTTCAGGAGATATCATTCTCTATCTCACTAGTCATCCATGGAGGTAGTGCTGCCTTTGTCCTGTGTTTTACACCCTCCAGCTACCTAACCTCTGCAATGTGTTCAGTTATTAAATTTATGGTTTTACTTCTTGGGGTGGGGTGGGGGAATACAGAATATACGTAGAAAAAACGTAATTCTACTAGCTAATTGGCACGACTATTTACTCTCATGGTGAAACACTGTTTTGTCCTGTAACTGCCACCCTCTGCTCTGGATGCTTACTTCCAAGTAAACACACATTGAGTTCTACTTTGTTCAACAGGATGTATTCCCAAAGAAGCATACCTAGTTTTATTACAATAGGCTTCACGGGCGTAACCTATCTATTAATGCTTACATCAGTACGGAGATGGAAACAATTCTGTCTTTTGTAACTAAGCAGACACAATACCAGGAACTGAATTCAAGCTGGCAATTAAAAGGTAGAAGAAGTCTGTTCCCGATTCTTCCTTTGCGTCAACAAGTTGGCACTTTCAGAATCTAGCGCCCGAATCTGCATTGCTCCCGTGGGACCTGGAGTCTCCCATGCCTGAGGTCACATACGACATTAGGCATGGGAAAGAGAGGGGTAGTCTGCCCAAAACTTCCTGGTGGGCCGATCTCCAAGGTTTGGTGGGTGTAATTAGGCCTGTAATCAGAAAGACTGAAGAAGTTTTGTTTAAACTCAAAGCAAACAGGGCATATCAAGTTTATTATTTTCTGTAATAAACTATTTTCAGAACAACACTTACTGGCTTCCATTTCTGTCCTTTCTCTAGAACCATGAAATGTGTGTTGTCTCCCAGGGATTGGAAGAAGTCTTCTGTATCCACCACTGTGCCATCTTCCTCCAGAACCAGTGTTATCAGCCCAGCAGTAATCATTAAGGTATCTAAGGTCTAAAATACAGACAGAAGAGCAAAACATAGTTCCAAATGCCTTATTGGTTTAGGGCAATCCTAGTTTACTTACCCCCTACTGAAGCAAGACACATCACAGGTGTGAATGTCTATTACTCAGAAACTGTACCATTAAGTTATTTGCATGCACCGTTCTGCATAGATTAAGCTGTCATAGATTGAGCTAACATGAGCCCAACTACTTTTGAATGGAGAAAATTATGGAAGAGAATCAGATCTGTGTGTGTAGCCCCAATTTATGAAGCCATGTGTTCACATGGTGTTCAAGCCTCCTCCAAAATGTGCTTATTTTTATCACTGGAAAGTCAACGCTTAGGACCAAACTAGGCTTTGAATTCATTATATGAATGCAACAGAAAATAACACACACACATATATATAAGCAGCAGTGCTGGCTTTGTGTGTGCCTGCATGCATGCAAGCAAGAGACCTTTCTGTTTTCAATCAGGAGGAAAGCCCCCATCAGTGACAATGGAGGCCTTCTTTCCAAAACAAATTACTTCGAGAGGTTTGGTGGTTGTGGAAAGTTAAGTTCCTCCCTATTTACATTCTTTAAAAGTGAATATTGATCACATTCACAATGATGCATCTAGTTTAGCCCTGCAGATTAGAACTCAAATTGAAAATAGATTTTAAAGAAATTCTGCTGTCAAGAGAGGGCATTATTAGTGTGACTTGCAGTAGCAGTCTAGATTCCTACAGCTACAAAGCAAGTTGCCCTTTATCATCCAAATCACCTTAACCACTTTACATTTCGATTCCATTCCCACTCCCATCCTCTTTCTACAGTACTGTACACAGGATTCTCAGATGGTCTTCCATCCATGCAGCATTCCAGTGCTGGTACAGTCAAACCTCGGTTCCTGAACTGCTCCCGTTTTTTAACGCTTCGGATCCCAAACGCCAAAAACCCAGAAGTAAATGCTCCAGTTTTCGAACATTTTTTGGAAGCCGAACGCCCAACGCAGCTTCTGCTTGAATGCAGGAAGCTCTTGCAACCAATTGGCAGCCACGCCTCAGTTGTTGAACATTTCAGAAGCCAAATGGGCTTCCAGAATGGATTACATTTGAGAACCGAGGTTTGACTGTATGAGGTAGCAATTGGTGCTGTGACTGGTTCCAGGCACAACCCAAAGCCATCTCCCCAGCCTCCTAATCTAGTCTAAGTAGGACAGCTGCAACCCACTCTACACCTCTGCATTCTACAAATCAGGTTAATGGTGGTTTGTGGGGACAATTCCCACAATTCTGCTCTACTTGTTCAGTTAAGAGATGTATTTTCCATATAAACTTTATCACAATTTTTAATCCATAAAAAGTAAAAAAGGGAAAGGAGGACATGGGTTAAGGACATGATTTAAGTGTTGTTTAATACAAGTATACTGCACTGCCAACTTAAGTTGCGCAAGGAAAGCTGGCCAAATTTTTACAAATTTCTCTTCTTGGTGCTCATGGCAATATAAATCGCCTCCTGAGATAAGGACAGGGAGTTCAAACCGCTGGTCACTGTTGCATGGAAGGCATGCACATGTAACCAGTGCTCATGGTCCAGTGGTAAACTACAAATAGTGCAAATGTAGTTTGGCAAAACATAGGATCTTTGAAACACAGTGATTAATTACATTACAAAGGCCTCATCCCAAAGGGGGTTTACAACAGGGCAGCTCCACATCATGTGCGGAGACAGCCAGCATGTTGTAGTGGTCAGAGTGCTGAACATGGACCTGGGAAACCTGGGTGAAACTCCCCAGTCAGCTATGAAGCTCACTGGGTGACCTTCAGACCAATTCACTTTGGATAAAGGACCTGATTGCTGTCCTGCTTCTCCTAACACTTAGGGACTGAGATAACTTGAGGAGGAGCCTTGGGGATATGCAATAAGGTGTTGGATTTTTGTTGGATGAGATGCATCTTCAGGTTCAATGGAGAACTTTTCTCTAGACTAGAGTGCTATGGATCACTGGCTAAGAATCGAAAAGGTATCTTGAGCATCTATTACAGCTATGACTGGAGCCAAGACAAACAGGTAGGACCAGACTTCTCCAAGAAGTTAACATCCCTGCTAGATCCAGGACTTCACAGTAGCCTTCACCAACCTGGTGCCTTTTATGTCCTGGCTGGGGCTGATGGAGGTTGTGTACACACATCACCTGTGTGTATGTGGGGCAAGAATTTTTGAACACATGTCTGAGATAATGAGGTCCTGGCATGATCATCAGGCTTGTGATTTTGACAGGAAACATACCTTGCTAATAAGCTCCTCTAGAGTGCTTGCAACAACTCCTCTCCGACTGCTTCTGTCATGGTTACAAACACGGAAGGGCCGAGCTGCAGCTGGAAGAGGTGCAAACAGGGTCTGTCTTGTTACTGACCCTAGAGATGCTCCCACTGACACCAGAGATCTAGAACAGAAAGCAGTTTGGGGTTTGTTATTTTTTTATGTACATTGTATGGTTTCAGTTTTAAGAGCAAGGAAATCATGTTTAGTACACAGTAGCACCATGGGTATAATTCAAGTCAGCCTACAGCCTAGATGCAGAGCAATTCATGCATTGCTAAATATATACCTTCTTCCAGGCTAGAAAAAGAGATATTAAGCACTTGAGGGAAGGGGCATTTTGATCCAACAGTGATTGTTTTGATCTGTGGATGTAACTATGAGCTATACAATGTCATCCCCACAGCGTCCAGTAAAACCCATTTGACTATCTTTGCAGTTGATCAGAATAGTGTGTGTTTGCCAGCTGGGCCCCTAAACATGGTCTAGTTTACCATTTCCAATATTATCAGTGCATCTTTAAAAGACAGACTAGTAACTGGAGTCTTTGCTAGAATATATAATAGTGCCCATCTGCTGTAAGGAGCAAATAAACGATTGTTAGTGCCTAAATTCACTTCTTGCATGTATCTCATGATAAGCATATTAATTCCTGCTTCCTTTTCCAGTTATTGATGTGTAAGAGGACCCATCCTCTTAACTGAGGAATGTTATATTCACACTTGACACATCGAAAAACATTTGACAATGTTTACCAGACCACCTCTAAAACACTTGGACTAAACAATTCCATAAACTATAATTACAAAGGTTAAGCAGCTGTGGCTAAAAATACAACACACTACTGATAATTTTAGCTTGTTATTAATGGAAACAGTAGAAACTCAGCACAACATTTAAAACCTGATTAGAATGGAAATGTTTTCAGAGCCCAGTTAAAGATAAAGGATCTGGTCCACAATTTCCTCAGGAGGAATTATCAAAGGTGTGAGGCCACCACTGAGAAGGTCCTGTGTCTACTGCCTGACATTTTAATTATCTAGGGTTCCCAAAATAAATTTTATGTTGATATTATTAATTTTAAATTACAATTCAATAATAGCCTCATTATAGCAATACCAAATTATAATACAATTACTAATACCAATCATTCAAATACTGAATTATATAATTTAGGTGCCCCCCCATGTGCTAGATTTGATGGGGGATTTTATTTCTGTGTTCCAAAATCTTATTAATTTCAATTAAATTCTGGTCAAAATAATAATCCCTTATACAACAGCTGCAATATTAATAACTTCCATTTGTGTTGACACATTAAATGATTGATAGAACTACAAGTGAGGCACTCAAACTATATCCTTGCTCTTCTTGTGTGTGGCAATTATTCTGTAAGTGGTTTTTCTTCCTGTCCTTATAAAATGTTACATCTATCTTTTCCCGGTTGTTGATGTTCTCCGTCATGCCTTGGGCGTAGCTGATATCCCATTGTTTCAGAAATTTCTCCATTGCTCCGTCCCGTCCTTCATTGTTTTGCAACTTTAATAACAGATGCAAAAATCACTCTGTCCCAATGACCTGTTTTCACCCTTTTTCCTCTCTGCCTGAGAAGAAGAGTGATCTGTCAAACTGCAGATGACTCAGTAATGAACCTTATCAGTTCCTTGGCAAGTTTGCAGACTTCTTTCATCCTTCCTTCCCAAGATAAATTTTAATGCCTGGCCGGGCTTGCATCCGTGTAGGCAATCCTTCAAATCACCAAGACCCAAAGGTTTAGGGCTTTGAAGGTCTAGGCCAGTACTCCTTGGACCCAGAAACATATTG